GATGCATTCCACAGAATTAACCTCAGTTAATAGTTTGATTTTTATCATTTCGGATAAACCTTTTTCTATAGATGACAAATATATTATTCTATGTGCACATATAAACACATACACACTCTTTGCAGAGTTTGTTGTTGGTGTAGTTTTTTTTTTTAGTAAAAGTAGGATCATTCGATACATGTTGCTCTATAACTTACAGCTGGTTCCATGTCAGTTGCTATAGATCTACTTCAGTATTCTATCAGCTACACAATATTCCATTGTGTGGATGTAGCATAATTTAACCAATTACCAAGGATAGACATTTATATTTTTCCCATTTTTTTGCTATTATAATGATAAGGCAATGAACCCCCCCACGTATACATCATTGCATGCTTGTTTGAATAGGTTAGATTCCTAGAATTGTTGCTGCTAGGTCAAAGGCTGTGCATGAAATATTTTTATGTTTGCTGCCAAATTGCCTTCCAGAATGCCTGTAGTAGTTTACATTCTAGCCAGCATTTTACTCAGTCCTTCTAGGTCTTGATTTGGACAGGTCACTGCCTGAAGGCTGTTCTCAAAGGCCTTTGGATTTCTTTGTTGATTTTTTCAGGTGGGATAATTGTGTTGTGGTTATGTTTTCAAAAAAGTCTTTGTCTTTCTGAGATACATGCTAAAATATTTATAGATTAATGAATTGAGAGGAGAAAAAGGCTAGGACAGAATTTTTTTTATCCCAAAACTTTTATGAAAAATGAAAAGACAGCAGCATCCAGAAGTCAGAAAAACAGACACTTAATGGAGAACAGATTTCCAAGGGATAACCGCAGCTGGACACTTGCAGGACACACGGTCCTGCTCCCATGCAGTGTTAGAGGTTTGAGCTGGATCTGCTGTAGAGTCTGATGGCCTTCTCAGTCCCTTCCGGAATCTGCTTCTCTGTCTTATAGTTCAGGCCTCCCTATCTCTCCTCTGGATCGGGGCTTTACTGCTCTGACCCTTGAGACCTCTCCAACTCCCCTCCTCCATGGATACCCCCTTTTTCCCTCTTCTGGGTGAGGAAGTATCTGAACATCTGGCCTTAGGGCTTCTTTTTTGATCCATTATCCTCAACTTCTCCAGGTCTCTGAGGCTTGACTTCTAGAAATTGATTTTCATCGTCTGGCTTGCTTTGGTAAAACCTGTTTTTAAGTTCATCCTTTTGTTGAAGTTTGGCTTTTTCACCTATAGTTCCAGGCATCTGAGCCTAGTCTCTGCATTATACCCGCCTTCAACAGCAAGCAGAAGCCTCAGGCCTCTTCCTGTTCGTAAGCCCTACCTCACTGCGACACCACCCACTGAGTTCCTGTTCATCTTTGATGCTTATAGCTCTAACTTGCATATGACTTGCAGAGTAGTAGTAATAAGGAGCTGCCACTTTTTGTGGCTTTGCTAAGCACTAGACTCATTACTAAGTGCTTTATATTATAACATATATATCATCATTCCTTTGCCATTAGACAACCCTGATGGTTCTTATCCTCGGATTACCAGGGGAGGAATCTGAGGCTCAGAGATGCTAATTAACTTTCCTAAGGTCACACAGCTAGTTAAATATCAGAGCTGAGATTCAAACATGAGTCTCTGACTCCACACCTTTAACCTTTGTGGTAGTTTGGAGGTAACTGAGGCATTACTCAACAAGCAGATAGGGTCTTTCCTGGCTTAGTTCCTTAGCTTAGATAACTTTCTCAATTCTGTCCCAGAGAATACTTTTTCAAAAAGAAAGAAACCAGTATTGAGGACCGATTGGGCCCTGTATTGATTTTACATCCCTTCTCTCACTACAGGTTTTAACATCATGTCACTCCTCTGCTTAAAACTGTCCTTTACCTTATACTTAGAAGAAAGTCTAAGTTTCTGACTGTGGCTTAAAAAGGCCCTGCATGCTAGCCCTTTCCTTTGTCCCTGATTTTATCTCTAACCACTCTCTTCCGTGCACACTACTCCCGGCCATCCTGGCCTCCTTGTTCTCACTGGAATACATCAGTCTCTCCACCTCATGACCTCCATACTTGACTTCCTCGCAGCTTGGAGTGGTCTTCCTGGAGTCTTTGCCTGGCCAGCTTCTTCTCAGACTTCAGGTCTTAGGTTCTTAGAACAACCTTCACTAGTAATCCTGCCTGAAATTTCACCCTTTTCCTCCCATCACCCCCAGTCATGTCACTTGGTTTCATGTTATTCATAGCACTCTTGGCCATCTGAAATTATCATATTTATTTATTTATTTACTTACTTACTTCGTTAGTTATGGTCAGTCGCATTTATTAGGTAAGCTTTTTGAGGATAGGCAGAAACCTTGTCTGGCTTATTCTCTGCTGTATTGCTAAGGCCTGTGACAGTGCCTAGCACAGAGTAGCTCCTCAGTAAATATTGAATACATGAATGGATGAATGAATAGCCATCAGTCTCTACCAACAACAGGAGGAGTGGTTCCCTGAAAGGCCTGGGAAATGGCTCTGGAGAGGGTGCTGGGAGAAGATTAAAACATGGAGAGTGGGACCCTGACCTCTCTCCCCTTGCTTTGCAGGCCAGAGGCACCCAATGAGTTCTATGATGGAGACCACGACAACGACAAGGAAAGCGATGTGGAGATTTAAGAGTGTTTTGGGATGCTATGTCCCAAGGAATTCCTTTTCACCTCTTGGTTGGGCTGGAGGGAAAAGGCGTGGCTCCCCCAGTCCTGGACTGGTCACCCTAGGACTTTTACTGACTCTGGGGAAGGCTCTGGAGATCACACCTGGTTGTAGAACCATCTGCTCCCTTTTCCTCACCCACCCAAGGCCTGACAATGGTACCTATTAAGGATGAGATGTGCACAAGCATAGCTGTGTCTGGGATGTTACTGCAGTGGGCCCTGGAGGCCAGTCCTCAGCCCCTCTTGCCCCTCATTCCTTCCCTTCTTCCCTCCACCTCAGAGACTTTTAGGGACGAAGGGGTAGACAGGACTGAGGTTGCCTCTGACATCCTCCTCTCTTGGGTTCTCCTATGAAGGCCTTGCTTCCAGGACAAGTGAAGAGAGGGAGAGATTTTGGGGGGCTCTAGCTCCCTAACACCTTAACCCCACATGATAGGAAGTACATTTTCAAGTGGGGGGAGGGTGTGAAAATGTCCTGTTCTAATTTTTGGCTTTATGTCCATTTTACCACTGTTTTTATCCAATAAACCATGTTGATATTTTTTGTACTTTCTGCTTTTCTAGGAATATTAATTCTTGCTAGCTTCCTATGTATGAAGGGAGAAGGAAATGGGGGTGATGATGCATATAATATAGTTAACATTCATTCAGCACTTATCCTATGTTAGGCCCTGTGTATGTACATGGATTCTTTTGTATATAAGAAGTTAATAGAGCATTCTAGTTAAGAGTTAGACAAACTTGGGCAGATTGCTAGCTTAAGAGAGGGAGTAGAAGATGACTTCTGTTTTTGAACCAGGGTGTTTGGAATGGTGATGCTGGTTGATAAAGATACACTGAGATAAAACATGTCAATTGCTTAGCACAGTGCCTGACGTAAGAAATTGCTCACTGACTGTTTATGTGAAGAACAACGCTCAATACCGAAGTAGGCACAAACATGGACCCTTCTCTGAAAGAGTTTATAGCCCAGTAAGGAGTATGATAAATGTTGTAGCAAATATAGACAGTGTTACAAGAAAGAGGAGTAATAGATGGGTCCCCTCAATCCTTTGATCCTGTTTGTCTCTCAGCATTCTAGCTTAGGAAGTAAGACAAAAAGTCCAGAAAGCTTGGCACTAAAATGAGTTTGAACTGTGGGCTGGACAGCTCTGTGTACCTTTCCATGTAACAGGCCACTCTTAGGAAGTCTGGAGCACAAAAGAGATGAAGGACAGATTTAGGAGCCAGCCAGCTTGGTAGGGTCCCTGGTGTATATCAGGCCCTGGGCTAAGGACTGGGGCTCCAGAGTGAGTAAGTTACTGACTCTGCCCTCTAGGAACGTACACTTGAAACCTTTTGCTAGCAGTGGTCAAGATGATGCCGTCTGTACAGCGAAGGCCTACTGGTTGCCACGTAATTTTCACACAGCGGGCAGATGTAGCTGGAAGAATGGATGAAATTGCTGTGGGAGAAAGTCAAGCTAGAAGAGCAAAGAACATCTTTTTGCTCATGTTTGGTTCATGTCAGTGGGGAATGCTGGTTAAACGTAGGGCTTGGCAGCAATCAGACTAATCTGGGTTTACATTTTGTATCAATTATGTGTTCTTGGGCAAGTCACTTCAACTCTCAGAGACCAAATTTCCTATTTTTAAAATGGTGAGACCAGCAGAATCTATCACATGGGATTGTGAGCATTCAGTGAGAAAATACATGAAGAGTATTTTGCATAGTGCCTGGCAGGGAGCAAGGGCATGGTAAGTGGTACCTATTATCACTGTTTAGGTTCATGTTGGCAATAACTAGTTTGTCCAGATTAGAAACATAACTAGATAGTAGACAACCTGGGATTCAAAACTAGGCGATTTAACTCCAGAGCTAGTGTGGTTCATCGTCTAGGACTTGCCTTGGATAAGCTCTGTTCTTGTTCCATTGCTTTCAAAACATGGTAGCTGTCACTTCTAAAATTTTTTTCATGTGTTCCATGGATATTGCACACATAAGAACTGCATTATCCCAGAAAGCCTGGCACTCAAATTTTCTGCCAGGCTAATGATCATTTATGCGATTTTTGGTTCAGATAATATCCTGGTCTGGGTGTGAGAGGGTTCAAGCTTTACAGCCACGTGGGCACTGCCTGGAAGCCCAGAGGCCTGCGCCGCTCAACCGCCAGGAGGCGGTGCTCCCAGCTGCGCCCGCTCGCCACCCCCCAACGTGGGTCTGAATGGTTAGGCCCGCCGGGCAGGTAGCGCGCTTCCGCGGCTTCCCTCCACCCCCGTCCCTTCCCCCATTGGTAGGGGCTGCAGGCCGGGCGGAAGTGGGGCAGGCGGGCGGGAGCGAGGCGTCATCGTTGTATATTCATGAGGCGCGCGCAGCCCGGCATGCTAATGAGGCGGGGCGCGGCGGCTGGCTAAAAGAGCTGCTGGGCGGCGGCGGCGGGCTCGGAGCTGCCCGGCGGGAGCGGCGTAGGCGCGGGTCACTGGCCAGCGCGAACCGGGACATGGAGCCGCCCGGCGGGGCCCTGGGGCCCGGCCGCGGGACCCGGGATAAGAAGAAGGGCCGGAGCCCAGATGAGCTGCCTGCGGCAGGCAGCGACGGCGGCAAATCCAAGAAATTTGTGAGTGTCCCTCCCACCCTGCTCCTGCCTGGCCCTGTAACCGCCCCCTGGACCCCAGCAGCCGGCCCCAGGGGCACCCGCCCGTCTCTAGGGAGCCGCCCCCGCGACTCCCTCCTTCGTTTCGCTCGGTCCTCGGCTCCGCAGCCCGAAATCCTCCCCCTCCGGGACCTCGGGAAGCCCCGGAATCCCACCCGGCTCTTGCCCCGGCAACCTCGGGGCTTCCTTCACTCCCCAGCCCGCACGTTCTGCCCTCCCGCCCCCATAGCCCCGGCCGGCTCTCAGCCCCACTTCCTTTCTTCTTCTTCTGGTACCCGAACACGCCTTCTCTTTCTTGGTCCCCTGTGCTCTTCTGGGTCCATTTTCTCTTCTTACCCTTACCCTCTTTTTGGTATTTCCTTATTTCCTTCTCCGAAAGGTCACTTCCTTCCCCATGATTGATCCCTTTCACCTGCTAACTTTCCTCCCGCCCAGTACCCCCTCCGGGCCCTCAGCCCGGTGTCACCTGATAATCCTTCCCCTCAGGAATGTTACCTGACTTGGGCCCAACTCTTCTCCTCCCTTGGACTTTTGTCCTTGCGATTGTAGGAATGGATTTCTGCCCAGGTCCTATGGTCATTGGGGCATGACGCTAATTTACTTACCAGTATTTCTCTATCCAAAGAACCTCTTTGCCCTGTTGCTTATCACTTTTTAGGGGGTTAGAACTTCTCTTATGATTATGCCGCTCCTGACGTAGGATGGTGATAAATCTCTCCTGTGGGGAGGAAGTTTGCCTGCAAGTCCAAGAAGTTTGTAATTGAATTGCTTTTTATACATTTCCTATGATAACCATCTCCTCAATTCCTGCCACAACCTGTGCCTCAGAGCTACTACTGACATCCCTTTTCCTACCTGTAGAAGAACAAATTTTCCTCAGGTGCCAATTACTTCCAATCTGAGTCTGAAGGCGTATTGACGTTCATGTAACCCTAACATATTTCATTACCTTTTGCCCTCACTAACTCCTCTCTCCAGGAAGCCGTTTGTTTGCTCTTACTATAAAAAGCTTTGGAAGATATCGGGCACTGTCCAGCAGGGAAAGAGTCTTGGATCTTAAAAATCATTTGCTAGTTGTAACTGTAGGTTTTTGTCTTATCTTCCAGGTATTTACGCCCCCACCCTAGTATTTCCTTCTCCTAATCAAATGGCTGGTAACTCTTACCTCTTTCTTTCTCTTAGCCCTACCCCCCAAAATTCTGACCCAGCTCCACAAGTTTTGGGAAGAAAACTGATAAAATGATGGAAACAGGAAGAAAATGTTGTTTTATAACCTAGACCATTGAGATATGGAGCATACTAAATGGAATTATTAATAAAATAGTGACTCATTTCTTCCTACCTATTTCTAGCAAGACCAGGTGCTCTTGGACTGTCCTTTCCAGTGGCATGCAGGCTGTCAGTAACTGCCTGTTTTTATCTTTGTACACCTTTTTTTCCTCCCCAGAAATATAGGGTTAATAGTAGTGACACTATTAACCAAAGGGGGAGTAAAGCAACATTCCCCTATGTTTCTTTAGGATAAGAATTGACCCTCTAGTTAGAGAGCTTTCTTTCCAAAACTTAAGTTCTAGGGCTCGTATTCCTTCTGTTTCTGTATCATTTTGTTTTGATTTTGTTTCCATGGGTACTGTTTGACCTTCCTCACCCGAATTCTAGCTATTGTTGCCGATTTATAGTGACCTCTGTGACTTGTTAATGTTTCAAGTCTTTAGTAGAATTTTGTATGTGCTTTTATTTTATCTAACACTTGTGTGTTTCACAATTTGTGAAGTCTGCTAAGTATGTGGTGCTGTAAGGTGAGAAACCTGAGGAAACTCAACTCCTTTTCACCTGTTTTTTGGAATGTCCATGGAGTCTTGTGTATCCTTAGTGGATTTGGCTCAGAGTTGTTGGTATTTGCTTTAGAGAGGGTGGAGCTGAACCAGTTCTCTTTTTCTTTCTGAGGTATTGGTCTTAACCCCTAACCTGCTGAATTTTTAAAACTAGGTAGTACAGGTAGTGAAGAGAATTTGCGTTTAGTAGCTAGGGAATTGGAAGGTTTCCAGGAAAGTAGTGCTGCTTAACCCCTTTATTGCCAAGTATAACCTATCTGAGGGCGTCAAAATGTTCTCTTCCTCTTTGCTCTTTTTATGAGAACTCTGTGGAAATGAGAGATGAGGAGAAGCATTGCAATGCACTTCTGTTTTTGTCTGTGTATGTATATGCGCGTGGGTGGAGTGGGTGAGATAGCTGGTGCGCTTTTGTTTCCCATGGCTTAATTTTCTTGAACTATATAGGCTAAAATTGAACTCAAAGCTCTTTCGCCTACTCCACCTTTTCTAAAGTGTGTGTCCTCTGGAACTCAACATTAAGAGTGTACTTTATAAAACTGTACTGGTTTGGACTAAGTGCGCCTGAAGGTTGTTTGCATTTGAGGGGTTATAATCCCTTTAGCTGCTACATACCTTCCCCGGCTTATGCAGGTTCTAAGTACAGATCAACTGATGAGAACACAGAGCTCACAAATTGCATAAGATCTGCTCTTACCCTGTGAGGCATCTTGTGTGGAAAGGAGACGGAGTCTAAGTTTAAAAAGTGGTTGGGCATTATCTCTTAAGAACACATGATTGTTAGAGATGCTGATGTGAGTGGCTGAAGCCAGGCTGCCTGGTACTCCCCCTTGGTTCTTCGTGAGTCTGTCTTCTCCCGGGCCATGAGCATATCCTTTCTC